TGGGGGGAATAGCCCCCCCATCTTTGGTGTCAGTGGGGGGTTTAGCGCCCCAACGGGGTGTCAAGTTTTGGGGGGAGGAATAGCGCTCCCATCATTGGTGTCATTGGGAGGAATAGTGGCCCCATTCAATGGTGTCAGTGGGAGGATTAGTTGCCTCCACTCGATTGGTGTCAGTGGACGGGGAAAAAGTGCCCCCCATCATTGGTGTCCAGTGGAGGTAAGAAAAGTGCTCACATCAATGGTGTCAGTGGGAGGGAATAGCATCACTTCATTGGTGTCAGTGGGAGGAATAGCGCCCATCCTTTGGTGTCAAGATGGGGAGGAATAGCGCCCCATCATTGGTGTCAGTGGGGAGGAAAAATAGCGCCCCAACATTGGTGTCAGTGGGGAGGATAGCGCCCCATCATTGGTGTCAGTGGGAGGAATAGCGCCCAAACGCAACTTGGAGTCAGTAGGGAGGAAAAGCGCCCCATCATTGGTGTCAGTGGGAGGAATAGTGCCCCATCATTGGTGTCCAGTGGGAGGAATAGTGCCCGTCGTTGGGTGTCAGTGGGAGGAATAGTGCCCCATCATTGGTGTCAGTGGAGGAATAGTGCCCCATCATTAGGTGTTCAGTGGGAAGGAATAGCGCCCCGTCATTGGTGTCAGTGGGAGGAATAGCGCCTCGTCATTAGGTGTGTCAGTGGGAGGAATAGCGCCCCGTCATTGGTGTCAGTGGGAGGATTAGCGCCCCGTCATTGGTGTCAGTGGGAGGAATAGCGCCCCGTCATTGGTGTCAGTGGGAGGAATAGCGCCCCGTCATTGGTGTCAGTGGAAAGGAATAACGCCCCATCATTGGTGTTTATAGGTGGGAGGAATAGCGCCCCGTCATTGGTGTCAGTGGGAGGAATAGTGCCCCGTCATTGGTGTCAGTGGGAGGAATAGTGCCCCATCATTGGTGTCAGTGGGGGGAATAGTGCCCCGTCATTGGTGTCAGTGGGAGGAATAGTGCCCCGTCATTGGTGTCAGTGGAGGAATAGTGCCCCATCATTGGTGTCAGTGGGAGGAATAGTGCCCCATCATTGGTGTCAGTGGGAGGAATAGTGTCACATCATTGGGTGTCAGTTGGGAGGAATAGCGTCACATCATTGGTGTCAGTGGGAGGAATAGCGCCCCATTCATTGGTGTCAGTGGGAGGAATAGCGCTCCATCATTGGTGTGTCTGTGGGAGGAATAGTGCCCCATCATTGGGTGTCAGTGGGAGGAATAGCGCCCCATCATTGGTTGTCATTGGGAGGAAGAGCGCCCCAACATTGGTGTCAGTGGGAGGAATAGCGCCCCATCATTGGTGTCAGTGGGAGGAATAGTGCCCCATCATTGGTGTCAGTGGGAGGAATAGCGCCCCATCATTGGTGTCAGTGGGAGGGAATAGCGCCCCATCATTGGTGTCAGTGGGGAAGGAATAGTGCCCCGTCATTGGTGTCAGTGGGGAGGAATAGTGCCCGTCATTGGTGTCAGTGGGAGGAATAGTGCCCCGTCATTGGTGTCAGTGGGAGGAATAGTGCCCCGTCATTGGTGTCAGTGGGAGGAATAGTGCTTGGTGTCACTGATGTGATTAAACGGGGAGGGGGGCTGGGGCACCAATTTTATTGTTCGTCCCCGGGCACAAAATATCCTAGCTACGCCTCTGCTCGGTGGTGTGACCTCAGACTGGGCTCCCCTCTTCCCCCTACAGCCGCCTGATGGTACTGCTAACAAGGAGATGGCGGACAAGCAGCACTGTGCTCCGCCCCCCCAACACTTTCCTGGAACATTTTGGCTCTTTCTGCGCTTTCAATGTGAGAAACTTGCCTCAAGCAAGAGGAAAAAACCGTCTGGCATCCATCAAAGCAGCCATCTCCTTGGTAGGTGTCCGATGGTGGAGGGGTGCCCTGCCCAGCCCCACAGTTACCCTCACAGCCAGCCCCCCTATGCCTCACACCCGGAAGTATTGGCTGAAGGCTAAGCATGCTGGGTATTTGGGTGTATTCACGTTGCATTGTCCCAGCAGGCAGAGTACAGGGTTGCTCTAAAGTATACATGGAAGTAATGGACGTTGTACAGGGAGTCGCATGCGTGTGTGAAGGGGCCATGGATCTACTAATACAGCGTTTATCAACCCTTCATGGCACCCTTCAAAAGTATACAAAATCTTGAGGCACCCTTGACATATCAGTGGAAAATGACCTTGAGGCACCCCTGACATATCAATGGAAAATGACCTTGAGACACCCTTGACATGTCAGTGGAAAATGACCTTGGGGGCACCCTTGACATGTCAGTGGAAAATGACCTTGAGGCACCCTTGACATATCAATGGAAAATGACCTTGAGGCACCCTTGACATATCAGTGGAAAATGACCTTGAGGCACCCTTGACATGTCAGTGGAAAATGACCTTGAGGCACCCCTGACATATCAATGGAAAATGACCTTGAGGCACCCCTGACATATCAATGGAAAATGACCTTGAGGCACCCCTGACATATCAATGGAAAATGACCTTGAGGCACCCCTGACATATCAATGGAAAATGACCTTGAGGCACCCCTGACATATCAATGGAAAATAACCTTGAGGCACCCTTGACATATCAATGGAAAATGACCTTGAGGCACCCTTGACATATCAATGGAAAATGACCTTGAGACACCCTTGACATATCAATGGAAAATGACCTTGGGGCGCCCTTGACATATCAATGGAAAATGACCTTGAGGCACCCTTGACATATGAATGGAAAATGACCTTGGGGCGCCCTTGACATGTCAATGGGAAATGACCTTGAGGCACCCTTGACATATCAATGGAAAAATGACCTTGAGACACCCTTGACATATGAATGGAAAATGACCCTGAGGCAACCTTGACATATCAGTGGAAAATGACCTTGAGGCACCCTTGACATATCAGTGGAAAATGACCTTGAGGCACCCTTGACATATCAGTGGAAAATGACCTTGAGGCACCCTTGACATATGAATGGAAAATGACCTTGGGGCACCCTTGACATATGAATGGAAAATGACCTTGGGGCACCCTTGACATGTCAATGGGAAATGACCTTGAGGCACCCTTGACATATCAATGGAAAATGACCTTGAGGCACCCTTGACCATGAACAAGAAACCCACCATCAAGTTAGAGTCCCCCCTCATCACATCAGTGTCACTTCACCCTTCCTTTCATCACATCAAAGCAGCGAGGCAGAGAGTGGAGGTGGGGCAGGTCTGAACAGAGGTGCTCTCCATCATCTTCTGAGTGCTGGGGGCAGCTCTGAATACTGTTTGCCCTTAATCTGCATCATGTGTTGCAATGATGCTGGGAAGACACTGTACAGTTTGGCCCTGGAGCTTCCTTGTTTGTTATGGTGCTGACAGGACACCATGTGATCTGGCCCTGGAGCTTCCTTGGTTGTTATGGTGCTGGTGGGACACCATGTGATCTGGCCCTGGAGCTTCATTGGTTGTTAAGGTGCTGGCAGGACACCATGTGATCTGGCCCTGGAGCTTCCTTGGTTGTTATGGTGCTGGTGGGACACCATGTGATCTGGCCCTGGAGCTTCATTGGTTGTTAAGGTGCTGGCAGGACACCATACGATCTGGCCCTAGAGATTTATTGGTTGTTATGGTGCTTGCGGGTCACCATACGATCTGGCCCTGGAGCTTCATTGGTTGTTAAGGTGTTGGCGGGACACCATACGATCTGGCCCTGGAGCTTCATTGGTTGTTATGGTGCTTGTGGGTCACCATACGATCTGGCCCTGGAGCTTCATTGGTTGTTAAGGTGTTGGCGGGACACTATATGATCTGGAACTAGAGCTTTATTGGTTGTTATGGTGCTTGTGGGTCACCATACGATCTGGCCCTGGAGCTTCATTGGTTGTTAAGGTGTTGGCGGGACACCATACGATCTGGAACTAGAGCTTTATTGGTTGTTATGGTGCTGGCGGGACACCATACGATCTGGCCCTGGAGCTTCATTGGTTGTTATGGTGCTTGTGGGACACTATATGATCTGGCCCTGGAGGTTCATTGGTTGTTATGGTGCTTGTGGGACACTATATGATCTGGCCCTGGAGGTTCATTGGTTGTTATGGTGCTTGTGGGACACTATATGATCTGGCCCTGGAGGTTCATTGGTTGTTATGGTGTTGGCGGGACACTATATGATCTGGCCCTGGAGCTTCATTGGTTGTTAAGGTGTTGGCGGGACACTATATGATCTGGAACTAGAGCTTTATTGGTTGTTATGGTGCTGGCAGGACACCATGTGATCTGGCCCTGGAGCTTCATTGGTTGTTAAGGTGTTGGCGGGACACCATACAATCTGGCCTCTGAGATTCATTGGTTTTTATGGTGCTGGCAGGACACCATGTGATCTGGCCCTGGAGCTTCATTGGTTGTTATGGTGCTGGCAGTGGGTTGATCCAGAACAAAGTGCGTCTCGTGTTAGCGGCACCCAGGGGAACCCAAATGGCACTCCAGAATGCCCCTCAGAAATGCTGCTCTAGTAGAGTGGGCGTAGCTCCTGCTAATCGCCCTGCCTGGCCTCTACTTGTTATAATTCTGTACTTTTCTAGTATATTTTATATAATAATTGTACAAAGGATCCGTGGATCTGAAATATTGCCACCTCACAGAGCCTAGATTGGATGCATACATTGTGAGATCTGTACGAAATGAGCTCTCCGACAACTGAGGGTTTCATCATCCGGGTTGTTAGCAAAGATCTGTTCGGCCTGCGCTACCTCTGATCTGCCGCTGAAATTCACGTGGATATAAACGCAGTTACGTATTCGCTGTATTTCTAATACAAGTATTGCTGGTTCCCCAATTGGATGGGATAGCATCCTCCCTTTACCACCTATACAGCAGGGCTCAGAGGGGGAACTCTGTGCAAGCAGCCAATCAGACTCCTCTGTGTTCCACAAGTGCTGACAATATTTATTATTGGAGGAGAGAGTAGAGTTTGTAAAAGGATGATCTTCTGAGTGTGTGGCTGTTTCTTCATCGTCCAATCAGCAGGCTAGGCCATGGTTGAGGGCCTGGTTGTGCAAGTTTTTGGACAGGTAAAACAGCCCCTGTATATCTATTTCAAGCATTTGCTTAGGTGCCGCCCGGAGTTCAGCTGCCTGCGTAGTGCATGTATTGCGTGGAATGCAACACTCGTCAGTATTAGGGCCGGCTTTGGGCTTGTGCCGATGACTGGTTGGGGTACACTCCTGAAATCATTCAGAATTGACACGTGTATCTAACCTGCAGTTGACCTACTTCTGACCTGCAGATGACCTCCTCCTGGCCTGCAGATGACCCACTCTTGCTGTGCACTTGACCTCTTCCTGGTTTGCAGTAGACCCCCTCCTGGACTGCAGTAGACCCCCTCCTGGACTGCAGTTGACTTCCTCCTGGACTGCAGTTGACTTCCTCCTGGACTGCAGTTGATCTTCTGACTTGCAGTTGACCTCCTTTTCTCCTGCAGTTTACCTCCTCTTGGCCTGCAGATGACCTCTTGCCCTGCACTTGACCTCCTCCTGGCTTGCAGGTGACCTCCTTCTTACCTGCAATTGACCTCCTGCTAGCAGTTGACCCCCCTCCTGGTCTGCAGATGACCTCCTCCTTACCTGCAGGTGGCCTCCTTATGGGCCTGCAGTTTACCACCTCCTGGCCTGCATTTGACCTCCTCCTGGTTTGCAAATTTCACCCTTCTAACCTGCAGTTGACCTGCTTCGAATGGGTTTTGCATTGATGCCAGGGGACCACCCACAACCCATTTACCCATCAACAATTTGCACACAGCTTTATATATTGTACATTTACATGAGTCCGTAAGGTTCCTACCTCCCATGCTGGAGCCAATTTAAACTCTGTGCTACCCATATGCAGTAGGCGGTACTTGCCTGACTGCATTGTGCCAAGTGTAAAGTTTGGTGGAGGGGGGATTATGGTGGGGGGTTGTTTTTCAGGGGTTGGGCTTGGCCCCCTAGTTCCAGTGAAGGGAACTCTTAAGGTGACATTTTGGACAATTTCATGCTCCCAACTTTGTGGGAGGAGTTTGGGGATGGCCCCTTCCTGTTCCAACATGACTGCGCACCAGTGCACAAAGCAAGGACCATAAAGACATGGAGGAGCCAGTTTGGGGTGGAGGAACTTGACTGTCCTGCACAGAGTCCTGACCTCAACCCCATAGAACACCTTTGGGATGAATTAGAGTGGAGACTGCGAGCCAGGCCTCCTCCCCCGACATCAGTGCCCCCTCCCCCGACTTCAGTGCCTGACCTGACAAATGTGCTTCTGGAAGAATGGTCCAACCTTCCCATAGACACCCTCCTAAACCTTGTGGACGGCCTTTCCAGAAGAGTTGGAGCTGTTATAGCTGCAAAGGGCGGGGCCAACTCAATATTGGACCCTACGGACTAAGACTGGGAGGCCATTAAAGGTCATGTATGTGGAAAGGGCGGGGCCAACTCAATATTGAACCCTACGGACTAAGACTGGGGGGCCATTAAAGGTCATGTGTGTGGAAGGGCGGGGCCAACTCAATATTGAACCCTACGGACTAAGACTGGGAGGCCATTAAAGGTCATGTATGTAGAAAGGGCGGGGCCAACTCAATATTGAACCCTACAGACTAAGACTGGGGGGCCATTAAAGGTCATGTGTGTGGAAAGGGCGGGGCCAACTCAATATTGAACTCTACGGACTAAGACTGGGGGGCCATTAAAGGTCATGTGTGTGGAAGGGCGGGGCCAACTCAATATTGAACCCTACGGACTAAGACTGGGAGGCTATTAAAGGTCATGTATGTGGAAAGGGCGGGGCCAACTCAATATTGAACCCTACCGACTAAGACTGGGGGGCCATTAAAGGTCATGTGTGTGGAAAGGGCGGGGCCAACTCAATATTGAACCCTACCGACTAAGACTGGGGGGCCATTAAAGGTCATGTGTGTGGAAAGGGCGGGGCCAACTCAATATTGAACCCTACGGACTAAGACTGGGGGGCCAATAAAGGTCATGTGTGTGGGAAGGGCGGGGGCCAACTCAATGTTGAACCCTACGGACTAAGACTGGGGGGCCATTAAAGGTCATGTGTGTGGGAAGGGTGGGGTCAACTCAATATTGAACCCTACGGACTAAGACTGGGGGGCCATTAAAGGTCATGTGTGTGGGAAGGGCGGGGCCAACTCAATATTGAACCCTACGGACTAAGACTGGGGGGCCATTAAAGGTCATGTGTGTGGGAAGGGCGGGCCAACTCAATATTGAACCCTACGGACTAAGACTGGGGGGGCCATTAAAGGTCATGTGTGTGGGAAGGGCGGGGCCAACTCAATATTGAACCTTACCGACTAAGACTGGGAGGCCATTAAAGATCATGTGTGTGGGAAGGGTGGGGCCAACTCAATATTGAACCCTATGGACTAAGACTGAGGGGCCATTAAAGGTCATGTGTGTGGGAAGGGTGGGGCCAACTCAATATTGAACCCTACGGACTAAGACTGGGGGGCCATTAAAAGTCATGTGTGTGGGGGAAGGGTGGGGCCAACTCAATATTGAACCCTACGGACTAAGACTGGGGGGCCATTAAAGGTCATGTGTGTGAAAAGGGTGGGGCCAACTCAATATTGAACCCTACGGACTAAGACTGGGGGGCCATTAAAGGTTATGTGTGTGGGAAGGGCGGGGCCAACTCAATATTGAACCCTACGTACTAAGACTGGGGGCCATTAAAGGTCATGTGTGTGGGAAGGCCGGCGGCCCAATACTTTTGGCAATATAGTGTATGAAGGTAAGTAGTACACTTGTTCCCGGCACACCTTGACTAAATGAGCATTTAACCCCTGCGTATGAGGGGGGGGATAGGCACTACAAGGGCAGGTTTGGCCTCATTCCCAGGGTTTAGCCTTGAGCCCAGCCCAGTAGGTTTCTGTAACTCTGACATGGAGAATTGGTGTTCTGCCGTCCTGGCCTGGCATGGCATCCATAGATCCAGTAGAGTAAGCAATGTCGCCCTGGGACACGAATGTGGTCACCACATCCAAGGACTGGGAGGTTGCATTATATTCCTTTCCTGTTCTTGGGTTTAGACCAGGGGTGGGCAAACTTTTTGACTTGAGGGCCGCAATGGGTTCATATATTGGACCCGGGGGCCGGACCAAGAGTAGATGAATGATGTGTATGTGTCATCCATAGTAAGTATAGTAATATTCCCCCATAGTAAGCATAGTAATTCATCCCCCATATAGTAATTCATCCCCCCTATAGTAATTCATCCCCCATATAGTAATTCATCCCCCATATAGTAATTCATCCCCCATATAGTAATTCATCCCCCATAGTAATTCATCCCCCCTATAGTAATTCATCCCCCCTATAGTAATTCATCCCCCATAGTAATTCATCCCCCATAGTAATTCATCCCCCATAGTAATTCATCCCCCATAGAAATTCATCCCCCCTATAGTAATTCATCCCCCATAGTAATTCATCCCCCATATAGTAATTCATCCCCCCTATAGTAATTCATCCCCCATATAGTAATTCATCCCCCCTATAGTAATTCATCCCCCATAGTAATTCATCCCCCATATAGTAATTCATCCCCCCTATAGTAATTCATCCCCCATATAGTAATTCATCCCCCATATAGTAATTCATCCCCCATATAGTAATTCATCCCCCCTATAGTAATTCATCCCCCATATAGTAATTCATCCCCCCTATAGTAATTCATCCCCCATATAGTAATTCATCCCCCCTATAGTAATTCATCCCCCATATAGTAATTCATCCCCCCTATAGTAATTCATCCCCCATAGTAATTCATCCCCCATATAGTAATTAATTCCCCATATTAATTCATCCCCCATATAGTAATTCATCCCCCATAGTAATTCATCCCCCATATAGTAATTCATCCCCCATATTAAGTCCCCAAGTCCCCCCTGTGTCAATTCACTTACCTTTGCTCCGCGCGTTCCTCTCGCCGTGTTCCCGCGCCGTTCCGGTGTAGCATGAAAATCTGTCTCCTATGAGGATCTGTCCCCCTCGACGTATCTGCGCATGTGCCAGTTTCAGGCATTAGCAGCCGATCGGCGATCTCCGGCACATGCGCAGATACGTCGAGGGGGACAGATCCTCATAGGAGACAGATTTTCATGCTACACCGGTCTTCAGGGCGGACTGTGAGAGGAGCCTAGCGGGAGCCTAGCTCGGCGGGTCGGATTAAAAGGTCCGCCGGGCCGTAGTTTGCCCATTGCTGGTCTAGATAGACTAATTAGAGCAGCCTGTAGATGGAATGGAACGTCCCGATTCTCCAGGCGCAGTAAATCTTGAGGCTGGTGCTTTAATTTAGTGCAATTACATTTGTGGAGATGAAAATGAACGATACGAGAGAAGTGGGGCCACAGACGTATTTAATCTTCCCTGTATTTGCTTTTATTACAAAACAATATTCACTCAATTAACCTTGACCAGCAGCTGTTCCGTTCACACGCGTGTTCCAGGGAGTGTTTATTGGTGATTAGTTACGGCGATTCTCAGAATGGGGTCTTTAGCCGACTCCTGGCTGTTCCTCTAATAAATAAATATAATCCTTTAAGACGCGTTGCATCATTTTTCACCGTCCTGGAGCTGCAGCGCCAAATTGGCTTCACTTGGCTTCGGTGAGATTGTTCAGAGTCCAGGCTTCAGATTATTATCTGACACAGTGCAGCGGGGAGCACATCCACTCTTCAACCCCTTCCTGCCTGGATATTGGGTGGTTTCTTGATCTGGAAGAGGATCTGGAGGAGTACCTGGGGAGCGCCATGCCCTGGAGGAACATGGTGCCCCCAGAATCCCAGCACACCTGTCACTTGAGGGAACACGTGTAGGACAACCCAACTTGGTCTAGTCAGTACTTCCTGCAGTCTGCATGTACCCGTTCCAGGCCTAGCTGTGATCCATAGGGCCCCTAAATACTTGTGGGACTTCATGCATGTTTACGGTCTGCACAGTGTGCCAACTATGAGTCTCCTTGCAGGTCTTCGGTTTCTGTAATGTATATTATTATACAGGATTTATATGGCACCAACAGTGTGCGCAGCGCTGTACAAAATGAAGGCGGACATTATAGCTACAATACAATTTGGTACAAGAGGAAACAGAGGGCCCTGATCCTGGGAGCTTACAATCTAGGAGGAGGTGCTGAGTGATACAAAAGGTAATAGCTGTGGGGGGAGGAGCTGATGGAGGAAATAAATGGCAGTTTACTAGGTGGGGGCAGGATAGGCTTCTTTAAAGAGAAAGGTTTTCAGGGATCGTCTAAAGGTGGATAGATTAGGAGATAGCCGGACAGATTGGGGTAGGGAGTTCCATAGGATGGGAGAAGCTCGGGAGAAGTCCTGGAGGCAAGCATGGGAGGAGGTGACAGGGGAACTAGAGAGCAGAAGGTCTTGGGAGGATCGAAGAGAGCGGTTTGGTTGATATTTTGAGACCAGGTTGGTGATGTAGCCGGGGGTAGAGTTGTGGATGGCTTTGTAAGTTTTGTTAGTATTTTGAATTTTATTCGTTGGGCGAGTGGAAGCCAGTGGAGGGATTGGCAGAGAGGGATGGAGGACACTGAATGGAGGCCAGTGGAGGGATTGGCAGAGAGGGGTGGAGGACACTGAATGGAGGCCAGTGGAGGGATTGGCAGAGAGGGATGGAGGACACTGAGTGGAGGCCAGTGGAGGGATTGGCAGAGAGGGGTGGAGTACACTGAGTGGAGGCCAGTAGAGGGATTGGCAGAGAGGGGTGGAGGACACTGAATGGAGGCCAGTGGAGGGATTGGTAGAGAGGGGTGGGGGACACTGAGTAGAGGCCAGTGGAGGGACTGGCAGAGAGGGGTGGAGGACACTGAGTGGAGGCCAGTGGAGGGATTGGCAGAGAGGGGTGGAGGCCAGTGGAGGGATTGGCAGAGGGGGGGGTGGTAGGAGGATACTGAATGGAGGCCAGTGGAGGGATTGGCAGAGGGGGGTGGAGTACACTGAGTGGAGGCCAGTGGAGGGATTGGCAGAGACACAATTGGAGGGATTGACACAATTCCTCCTCTATAGGCCGCACCTTGTCCACTCCACCTCCGCTCAGGATAATATATATGAGATACAAAGCAAAAAGCCTTCCATTGTGCAGTATTTTATTAAATATAACCGAACAAAGCAATTCATATTGCACTCACATGTGTATCCAGTTCAAAAAACGCCTGTCACCTCTTCCTATGGGTGTACTGCATGGTAACTGGGTGTACTAAAATGGCCGCTGCAAACGGAAATGCGTCAACTCACACCGGAAATGAGGTACCGACGCGTTGCGTCACATCCCTCGTGACTTCCTCAGGGACCCTGAGGAAGTCACGAGGGACGTGACGCAAGGTGCGGTTTATAGAGGAGGAATTGTGTATTATATCCTAGGGTCCCTGTGATGAGACGTGGAATCCAGAGGACCCGATATTGTCAGTTTAGCCCTTTGGCCCTGTGTGGGTCAGGGTGTGGAGGTGAGCGGCCATTGCTGCCATTTGAGGGTTGGTGTTTGTTACTCCACTAGAGTGAAGATCACGTGGCACCGTCACGTTTTTTGCATGGACTTTATAGCTTGATATTTCACGAATGAATTTTGTTTATTTATATTTTATGGATTACAATTCATATTATTGAGTATAATCTCCATTCACTGACGTTTCTTGTTTGTATGGATTATTATTTATAATATTGAGCATAACCTCCATCACATCTGAGTGTTTATTGTAGAAATTGGTTCACTATTTATTATCAATTTATCTCACACTGAACACTAATATGTTGTTATTTATTTAACCCCTTGCCTACCGGGCACTTCTACCCCCTTCCTGCCTACCGGGCACTTCTACCCCCTTCCTGCCTACCGGGCACTTCTACCCCCTTCCTGCCTACAGGGCACTTATACCCCCTTCCTGCCTACCGGGCACTTCTACCCCCTTCCTGCCTACCGGGCACTTCTACCCCCTTCCTGCCTACCGGGCACTTCTACCCCCTTCCTGCCTACCGGGCACTTCTACCCCCTTCCTGCCTACCGGGCACTTCTACCCCCTTCCTGCCTATCGGGCACTTCTACCCCCTTCCTGCCTACTGGCATTTTTACCCCCTTCCTGCCTACCGGGCACTTCTACCCCCTTCCTGCCTATCGGGCACTTCTACCCCCTTCCTGCCTACCGGGCGCTTCTACCCCCTTCCTGCCTACCGGGCACTTCTACCCCCTTCCTGCCTACAGGACACTTCTACCCCCTTCCTGCCTACAGGGCACTTCTACCCCCTTCCTGTCTACAGGACACTTCTACCCCCTTCCTGCCTACAGGGCACTTCTACCCCCTTCCTGCCTACCGGGCACTTCTACCCCCTTCCTGCCTACCGGGCACTTCTACCCCCTTCCTGCCTACAGGGCACTTCTACCCCCTTCCTGCCTACCGGGCACTTCTACCCCCTTCCTGCCTACCGGGCACTTCTACCCCCTTCCTGCCTACAGGACACTTCTACCCCCTTCCTGCCTACCGGGCACTTCTACCCCCTTCCTGCCTACAGGGCACACTTCTACCCCCTTCCTGCCTACAGGGCACTTCTACCCCTTCCTGCCTACCGGGCACTTCTACCCCCTTCCTGCCTACAGGGCACTTCTACCCCCTTCCTGCCTACAGGACACTTCTACCCCCTTCCTGCCCACCGGGCACTTCCACCCCCTTCCTGCCTACAGGACACTTCTACCCCCTTCCTGCCTACAGGACACTTCTACCCCCTTCCTGCCTACAGGGCACTTCTACCCCCTTCCTGCCTACCGGACACTTCTACTCCCTTCCTGCCTACAGGGCACTTCTACCCCCTTCCTGCCTACCGGGCACTTCTACCCCCTTCCTTACCAGGCCAATTTTCAGCTTTCAGCGCTGTCGCACTTTGATTGACAATTGCGCGGTCATGCAACATTGTACCCATATGAAATTTTGATCATTTTTTTTCTCACAAATAGAGCTTTCTTTTGGTGGTATTTACTCCCCGCTGGGCACTTTACTTTTTGCGCTATAAATAAAAAAATTGCAAAAAATTTGAAAAAAAAAAAAGTTTCTTTCTTTCTATTATAAAATTTTTCAAACAGGTATTTTTTCTCCTTTACTGATGTGCGTTGATGAGGCAGCACTGATAGGCGGCACTGATAGGCAGCAGCACTGATGGGCACTGATAGGCAGTACTAATGAGGTGGCACGGATAGGCGGCACTGATAGACAGCACTAATGAGGTGGCACGGATAGGCGGCACTAATATGCAGCACTGATAGGCGGCACTGATAGGTGACACTGATGATGGGTACTGATAGACGGCACTGACTGGCATCACTGCTGGGCACTGACTGGCAGCACTGACTGGCACAACCCCTGGGCACTGACTGGTGGCACTGACTGGCAGCACTGCTGGGCTGCACTGGTGGGTGGCACTGGTGGGCAGCACTGGTGGGTGGGCACAGGTGGGTGGCACTGGTGGGCACAGGTGGGTGGCACTGCTGGGCACAGGTAGGTGGCACTTCTGGGCACAGGTGTGTGACACTGCAGAGTGGCACAGGTGGGTGCACTGCTGGGCACAGGTGGGTGATCTGCTGGGCACAGGTGGGCAGAGCTAGTGGGCGCACTGCTGGGCACAGGTGGGCGGAACTTGCGGGTGGCACTGCTGGGCACCGATCATCAGGGCACTGGTGATCAGTGACCCTGATGATCGGTGCCGATCCCCGCTCTGACAACTGCCGGTTCTCGGCAGTACTTTCCTCACGATCTGACAGCGTGAGGAAAGTGCAGCCGAGAACCGGCACTTGCCTTTCCCTCTGATCAGCGTGTCATTGTACACCGCTGATCACGTGGTAAAAGGCCGCTGTGATTGGCCTTTTACCACATGACGTGATCAGCTGTGTCCATAGGACACCGATCACGGAGATCGCCGGGTGCGCGCCCCCTGGGGCGCGCAGGAGAGCGCGTTCTGGGGGGGGTCATCATATGACGTCCACTCAGAACTGGCCGGCCGCAGTGCAGCCGTCATTCGGCTATCTGCGGTTGGCAGGTAGTTAATATGTATTAGGAGTATATTATTGATATAGCGCTTCACTATTTTTTCATTTGAGTCCACACTTTATGGTAGAAGTGGCAGCAGCTATTAGCAGGTTTTATACAACTCGTTATGAGCGCAGGAGGATTTTTTCCATAGTTTCTGTGGAGTGTTGTGGGAGAATCCAGACTGAAGGGGATCTAGAAGGTTATTCTCAATGAGGTGGCAGCTCAGCCGGTTGTAGACTAGACATTCAAGGAGTTTGGAGGCAAAAGGCAGTAAGGAGCTGGGTCTTAGGTTGCTAAGATTGGTGGGGTCCAGTGAGGAGATGGGTCTTAGGTTGCTAAGATTGGTGGGGTCCAGTGAGAAGGAGATGGGTCTTAGGTTGCTAAGATTGGTGGGGTCCAGTGAGAAGGAGATGGGTCTTAGGTTGCTAAGATTGGTGGGGTCCAGTGAGAAGGAGATGGGTCTTAGGTTGCTAAGATTGGTGGGGTCCAGTGAGGAGATGGGTCTTAGGTTGCTAAGATTGGTGGGGTCCAGTGAGGAGATGGGTCTTAGGTTGCTAAGATTGGTGGGGTCCAGTGAGAAGGAGATGGGTCTTAGGTTGCTAAGATTGGTGGGGTCCAGTGAGAAGGAGATGGGTCTTAGGTTGCTAAGATTGGTGGGGTCCAGTGAGGAGATGGGTCCAGTAGGTTGCTAAGATTGGTGGGGTCCAGTGAGAAGGAGATGGGTCTTAGGTTGCTAAGATTGGTGGGGTCCAGTGAGAAGGAGATGGGTCTTAGGTTGCTAAGATTGGTGGGGTCCAGTGAGAAGGAGATGGGTCTTAGGTTGCTAAGATTGGTGGGGTCCAGTGAGGCCTTGTTGAGTATGGGGGTGACTAGCGCATGTTTTAGAGAGTTGGGGAAGATGCCAGTAGAAAGGGAGAGATTGAAGATATGAGTTGAAGAGTGAAGGACAGAGCCAGAGGGTGGCCGTAGCATTTGCGAGGGAACAGGGTGCAGGGGTATTACTAGTATATTAGATATAGTATATCAGTAGTTCAGACCTGGAGCATTGCCCCTTTCAGCAGTAGCCAGTAAGCATGCCACTGACACTACAGGCCTCTGCCCACCAAGTCCAGGACAAGGGATGGACAAGAGGGACATCTGCCCTGGGAGCAGCAGAGTAAAGGGGCAGAGAATGAATGCAGTGCGGTACACCCATTCTACAACATGCATGAACAGTGGGTCCTGGATGAACCTGTCCCGGAACTGATGCCCACCTGTGTCCTCCCTGCCAGCCACTGACATCTTCAGCTGGGTCTTTCAGGTTCTTATCTTCGGCTCAGCTGCTGAATCTTCTCAGGCCTGTTGCCCAAGAGGGTGACCATGTGGCTGAGCAAAGACTTTAGCAGGTCAATGTACAAGTGCTTTACAGTCACAAAGTGCTGGGTCATCTCTAACGTCCTCCATCTGTGGCTGCCATCTTTCTTGGTCTCCCTGACCTTGGCTTGCTATCAAAAGATCCTTGAACTTCCACTTCTTAATAGGTGATGTAACAGCACTGTTTGACATATTTAAGGCTTTGGACATCTTCTTATGTCCTTTTCCTTCTTGATAAAGTTCCAATACCTTGTTACGCAGGACTTTTGACAGTTCTTTTCTGCTCCCCATGGCTCAGTATCTAGCCTAGTCAGTGCTTCCACGTAAGAGTGAACAAACTCACTGACTATTTATACACTGACACTGATTGTGATGTAAGAAGCCACAGATGTTGGACATTAACCTCTAATTGGCATTGTAACCCGTGTGTGTCACCTTGTGTGTCTGTACCAAGGCCGAACATTCCAGGGGGTGGAGACTTCTGACCCCGGGGGTGGAGACTGATCCGGGGGAGGAGACTTCTGATCCGGGGAGGAGGGAGACTTCTGATCCGGGGGACCAAGGGGAACGTTTGATCCGGGGGGTGGAGACTTCTGATCCGGGGGCGGAGACTTCTGATCC